TTTTTTTTCAGCAAAATTATCCACACCCACCGCCGCGCTATGCATTCTGGGATATGTTGGGCCACGAAGTCTACACCGCCACGTCCTTAAAATTCAGGGATATGAAGGACACATTTGAGGGCCGCATTTCGAGCAGCCTTCGAATTGGGACAGCCTTCGTCGCGTCGCTGTGACGTAATCGGCCTCAAGACATGTTGAGGTGATAATTTAGCCATTTGAATCAGCTGTGTTGGATCAAGGACACATCTAAAACATGCAGGACACCGGCCCTCGAGGCCTGGAGTTCGACACCTGTGCAGTAGTGGTTCAGCAGGGTCAAAAACATTTTTATGTTATTAGGATTTTCCCCTTTGTTACCTCAGACCTAACAACAGAGAGCTGATACAGTGCTTCTGATTCAGCCACCCAGCCATGGGTCGATGTAACATGGTAGACTAATGTGCCTGTATTAATTCATCTCCATATTATTGTGTGAAGTTGCACTGGGTTGGGAAAGTGTGTGTGTGTGTGTGTGTGTGTGTCACATTTCTGGTAAGCCAATGGCCATAATGGGGTTGGACTAATTAGAGGCAGGTGTAATTGATTGCTCTGATACACTAGCCTACTTGTAGCCCACAGTACAAATACTGCTGTGTTATTTTATCTCTCTGTGCAGGTTTGTAATGTGATGAAACCTGATATGTTTGGGATGGATGGGTTTTGTGCTATGAATTATATAGTAAAGGAGTTATTTTGTCTCTCTGTGAAACTGGCATAGCTGGCTCTGGCCTTGGGACTGTGTTTTTTTTACTTGATCCGCAAATGGGACGCTGGACTGTTTTATCTTTTATTATTGTGTCAATAAATTACCTTTGAGAATTGTCTTGACCTTCATCTTTTTGCCCACGGCTGAGACGGTTGGTCAGACTTAGAATCTTTCTGCTCTACGTTCTCTAGGATGACTTCATTACATCTTCAAGTCTTTAAAATATTAGGAAACATTTTCCTCGATAAACCCTGCTCTTAACTCAAACAACGTAGACATCCATGCAGAAAAAATTGTGGCAAAGATCACTAACATGACAAAACACAGCAGATGTGAGTGAAGTTGTCGCCCCCCCCCCTTCTTCAAATCCAACAAAATTGATGTCAAACGTTTGTGCTGGTTTGTGCTGCAAAAATGTTCTTTTGTGCTGCTATCATTTTAAAGATATTAATAATCAAACAAAATTGGTGTCAATCAGCTGTGCTATGTTTGTGCTGGGTTGTGCTGCTAAAATTGTCATTTGTGCTGCTTCTGTTTTGAAGATATTAATGAAAATGTAAAGGTCAAAAGGTAAACCAGCCCCCCCCACCCCACCCCCCCACATTACCCAAATCAAACAAAATTGATGTTAAACGTTTGTGCTACATTTGTGCTGGTTTGTGCTTCAAATATTGTCGTGTGTGCCGCTATCATTTTAAAAATATTAATAAAATAA